TCGCAGAGTTGGAGGTGCCTGCGGTTGCCGCCCGCGGCGACTTGCGCCAACCGGCGCACGGACGCCAGCAGCGCGCGAGCCTCCAGCAAAGTGACGTGCTCGTGCCTGCCCCAAGTGCCAGCACGGCAGACGCGCCAGCCCCTCGGATGAAGAAGGCGGGCTGGCACCTCGGGGAAGCTCTCCACGATGGCCCAGTCCTCGTCGAGCTCGTCGCCCACCCGTGGCCGCCAGCGCCCGTCCTCGAGCATGAAGCCGGCAGCCGCCATGGCGGACTCGCGCGGGGCGATAGCCCCTCCCCGACGAAAGCGGGCTCGCTCTCGGACTCGTCCGACGCTGGCAACGTCGAGGGACGACCAGCGGGAGCTGACGATGCCGACGCCCTCAGGGGACGCGTCCGAGGCGGTGACATCCCTGTTCCACGGCAGCCACCAGTCGCTCTCCATGAAGACCAGCAGCCCCACGAACGCGGCGAACTCGTCCTTGACGGTCCTCCAGAGCTCGACGTCCTTCGTGTACGTGGCGTACACAAACGCATACGCGGCCGAGAAAACGGTCATGGTCTCGCGCTTGATGAGGGCGGCGTAGGTACAGTGGCCAAGGATGCTCTCCACCATCTGGCCGCTCGCCCGTCCACGCTGGAGGAGGCAAAGCAGGCCCCTCTCAAGCCTCACCCGCCGCTTGGCCGTGAGGCAGGTCACGAGTCGCGCCCCGTCCAGGTCGACCCCCAACGCGGAGCCCTTCTCGGTGAACAGCTCGACCTCGTGGATGTCCAGGCCATGCTCACCAAAGACGCGGACCTGCTCTGACAGGGCGGCGCCCACCGTCTCGGCGTCGCGGCCCATGGCCCCGAGGTTGTCCACGTAGACGTACCGCCAGAGGTCCGTCTCGGGGGAGCCAGTCGCGAGCACCGCCCAGTCCCCGCGGTCCGACAGCAGGCGGGCGTGGCGGAGCAGGGGGGCGCTGTCGGAGAGCCTAGTGTTGGCGTTCTGGCAGAAGTAGAGGCTCCACGCAAATCCCACGGGCAGAGGGCGCGCGGCCGGCCACACCTGGGCGTTGCCAAAGGCCCGGTCGCCCTCGATGAGCAGTAGGCCCAAGGAGTCGACCTCGGCAGCGAGCACCGGTTCGTAGCAGCAGAAGGCTCTCATCCACGGAGGCATGATCATGCGATGGAAGCTGTTCTCCACGTCGGCTACGCCCAGGGCAACTCGGAGCGCCCGAAGGGCGCCTCGGCCCAGATCAGTGGCCAACTCGGGGTCCTCATCGACATAGACCTCGATGGACGAGAGGCCCTCCGCGGTCAGCAGGTCCACGTGAGGGAGCTGAGCAAATCGTTGGTTGGCGGCTCGCCCGTCCAGGATCAATCTCTGCATGGTTTTGCCCTTTTTCCAAACGAGGAAGGACCCGATGAAGTCGATCGGCTGCGTAGTGTACCGGGGCATGCCGATGTCGCGAAGGCGGCGGATGAAGCGGAGGCACTGCCGGCGCGATCGCGCCAGCCGGGGATCTGAGCACGGCTTGACGGGCTCACGCTGTCGCAAGTCTTCAAAATCATTGGTATCTCGTAGCATGCGCTCTCCACAACCCTCCAGGAAAAGGCGCCCCTGCTGGCCGACCAGGTCGTAAACGGAAGGAGCCGTAGAGACGTCGGCCGGCAAGGAGACGAGGCGCAACTGGAAGGGGGCAATGTTCGATTGGCCCTCCTTGTAAAGGGAGATGCCACGGATCATCTGCAAAAATGACGATCGCGGCGAGGGTGCGTCAGCGACCGGCTCCTGGGATCTGACCAGGCCTTCGATGCGCGCCACTACCTCTCTGCGCATGCCAGTGAAGTCACACCGATGCAAAAAAGTGCTGCTCTCAAGATCCTCTAGCCAGTTGAGCGCCCTGATCGCCCGATTGACGACGGCGAAGACGCGCTGATGGCCACGGGGTCCTCGTCGCTCACGATGACGTCGGCCACTGAGCCCCTCCGCCACCAGGGGGGTCGGGAAGAGCAGGCGCGAACCCCGCCCCGGCGGAAGGGCAGCCGACGTGGGCCGATGCGTCTCGGCGGGGGGGGGCCCACTCCCCCCGCCGTGCCCACGGGTCGTCATTGGGCCCCGGGGGGGGCGCCACTGCCCCGGCCGCGGGCGCCTCCGCCGCGGTCTCGGCTGCCCCTCCCCGGAACTCCGCCTCCTGCACCCCTCTCGGGGGTCTCCTCCTCGCCAGAGCCGGCGTGGAGCGTCGGCGCCTGCTGGCCCCCCGCCGCAGCGTCGGCGTTCCCCTTCGCCCTCTTCGCCACGCACTGCCTCATCTCCGGCTTGGCCGCGTCCACCGTCGAGCGCGTGCCCGCGAGGTCGCGTGCAAGCTGCCAGTTCGGGGCCTTATCCACGACCTGGTACGCATCCTCGATGATCTGCACCCGACGCACAGCCACCTTCACACTGGCGGACGCCGGGAGGTCGGCCTGGTCGTAGGTCACTCCTGGGAAGAGGATGCCGACCAGGCGCCGCATCTCCCGCGCCACACGGTTCGAGTCCTCAGTACGGCGCTCTCGTGCCCAGGTTGTCGGCCAGAGGCGAGAATCCACCCCGTGGCGCTCCATGTGCCGCATGAGGCTATGCATCGTGGAGGGCCCCTGCTGCGGGAGGTTCGGGTCCACGAAGCCGCGGGCCCCACGGCGGCACTTGCGGAAATCCTTGTACCTGGCTCGCCGCTCACCGTAGTCCAACCAAGATGTGCGGGCGTCCCCGCTGCCTCCGGCGTCCGTCGCCGCCAGCGGCCCCGCTCGGGCAAGCCCGCACCAGTCGGCAATGAACCTCTCGTCGAGACCAACCCGAACGCAGGTGCCACTCCGACGCCCGTCCCCACGAGCGACCAGGGCGTCGCACCTGTCGACATGCACGTGCACGACCTCGCGCTTGACCTGACCGCCCACGGGTCCGATAGCGGAGGACTCGCCCAACACCCAGACGTAGCCCGTGTCGGTCGGTCCCAGCCCGCGCGCGGGGGAGACCTCCCCGCTCGCACCCCCTGCGGCCCCCGCGTCGGCCGCTGCGGGCAGGCGAGCCCGACGCCGCGGCGGGCGGCTACCGCCCAGGAGCTCGTCCAGCGTCGTCACCTCATCGAACGTCACCATCACCTGCTCGGGCCGCTGGAGCTCCGCGCCCGCGGAGCCGATCTCCTCCTCTGCCTGCGCGTCTCCCCGACGGGTCACCGCCCTGATCTCGTCCCCCGGCGGCGGTCCCTGGCGGCGGCGCGCCTGGGGGCCGGGGCTGGGCGATAGCCCGTCCACCAGCAGCGGGACGTCGTGCTCGAGGCCGTCAGAGTCGGACCCGTCCGGGTACTCACGGCAGACGTCCTGGTCTGGCGTCTGCAGCACCCACAGGACACCCTGGATAGGCCACAGCGCCCCCATGCCACGCCTTGCACTCGACGTACCCCCTCAGCAGTCGGGACCCTGGCGTCAGCGTCCTCCTGAACTCCGAGTCCGCCACGACGCGCGGCGCGACCGCCACGGCGCTAGCACCACGAGCAGCACACGAGGGCCCAGCGGCCGCGCTCCCAAGCAAGTCGCCCCCTGAGCTGCCCCGCCGGGTCGGCGGCGAAGGCCTGGGGCGCGGGGCCCACTGCGGGCTCTTCCCCTCGGCGGCACCCGGCACCGCGGCTCTCAGCTCCCTCGGCGCCGGGCACCTGCACCCGCCAGTTGGGCAGATCACCGTCGGAGGCCCAGTCGGCTGAGAGAACCAGCAGATCAGTGCTCCATGGCCCAGGAGCGGGAACAGCTTCTGGAAAGGCCCTCCGGCCATACACTGCCAAGGACGGAGGTCGCAGGCTCAACCTTTGAGCCAAAAAGACTTCGGAGCATATATAGCCGCGATCCCACAGTGTGGGATTGATGTTCTTTCAGACAAGCTGGCAGACGACAAGCGCTCTCTTACCCCATTCATGTGCACGCACTCCCATCATCATCATCATCATCATCATCATCATCATCATCATCATCATCATCATCATCATCATCATCATCATCAGCATCATCATCATCATCATCATCATCCAGAGCGCCCCGGATCGGCGGCACTGGCCAGAGAAGCCACTACAATATTCTTTTACAACGGATAACATACGCGATGCAATCTATGTTCTGCAATTTCGGCAGCGACGGGTCGGCGTCGGCGACAACATAGCCACCCGACCGACATCCAGGCCCAGACGAAGAGCGGCAACAAGGCGGAGACGGGGCGGCGCCGGCGACAACATAGCCGCCAGACCAGCTTTCAGGCCCAGCTCCATAGAGAAGAAATGCGAACCCCTACGTGCAAGCACATGCACACATGCTTGCATGCATACATACGCACATACATATTTATGAGTATAAACGAATACATGTACGCATGTGTGTAAAGATATGAATACAAGATTGCGCAATGCATCGCTTTCCCTTTCCTATGCTTGCTCGTTCTGGGTGGGCGCGTTCACTCTGCCACTTGCTGCAGGCGGGTTGGGTACGTCCCTCGGCCGTGTTGATGGAGGCCTCCTAGATGGGGCCGAGTAGATTGCGTCGGAGGATTTCGCCGCATCGCTGATGCATCGCCGATGCATCGGCGATGCACTGGCGACGTCGGCGGTGCATCGGCGACGCTGGCGTGGGGAACATGGGCCCCACATCGAGCGGCATCGCCGATGCATCGGCAACGCGGTGCGATCCTCCGCGGTGCGATCCTCCGACCCCATCTACTCCGACCCCATCTAAGGAAGAAGAAGAAGAGGAAGAAGAAGAAGAAGAAGAAGAAAAAGAAGAAGAAGAAGAGAAAACGGCGTAAACATAAACTTTTGGCGCTGCGTGCGAATTTCTTGGATCTGCGCTGGACCCCCCTGCCTGGTGGGCGGAGCGCGCCAGGGGCGGCGCCAGAGGCTCCGCCTGGGGGGCCCAGCGCGGATCCCGCAATCCGCGCGGAGCGCCAAAAGCTTCTGTTCAGGGCGTTTTTTCTTCTTCGACTCTACGGGGGCCCAGAGACAAGTCCTGGTCCGCGACCGGCCGCCGGGGGCCGTCTCCGCCACCTCGACGGGCAGATACTTCTCCAGGGACTCCCCCCGCCTGTCCTGCCAGGGGGGCGCACCGTCGGCGTGGTCGGCGGGGCGGGCCGCGGTGCCAGGTCCGCCCTCCGAGGAGGCCTGGGGCTCGCCATCGCTCGGACGTCCAGTCCCCGTGCCTGCTGCGGCTTCGTGCGCGTTTTCCTTGTTTGTTTCCTGTGCGATTCTCCTCGATGATCCTCGCCGAGGAAAACAGTGCACACGTCCGAGTGATGCCAAGTCTGTGGGCGGAGGGGTCGGGATCCTCAGCCACCCTGGAAAGAACGGGGCCCTGGAAGAAAACCCTCAGGGCATGGCGGCGCAGAGAAACGGAGACCGGCCGTATTTGTGTGTTTGTTTGTTTGCTTGCTTGCTTGCTTGCTTGTTTGTTTGTTTGTTTGTTTGTTTGTTTGTTTGTTTGTTTGTTTATATATGTACATATACACAGACGTTACACACAAATATAACACATACATATATATATATACAACAGAGTTGTCCCATGCATGTGGAGGCCGTATATAGGGTTTCCTCTTGCGCTTCTCTCTCTCTCTCTCTTTTGCTGCACTGGCCCGTTCCCGTTGATCGCCATTTTCTTGGCATGGGCTTCGCGTTGTGTCGACCCCCCTCGACCGACCGGCCGACCGACGGAGGAAGAAGGGGGAGGGAGGCGGCGCCGCAAGCACCGCGCCTGGCTCAGCGCGCCAGGGAGGGGGTCCAGCGCCGACCCAAGCCATTCGCGCGGATCTCCGGAACACTACGTTTATGAATCGTCTCTTCTTCGATCGATGGAGACTGGGGGGGGCGGAGAGAGGAGGTGGAAGAGGAGGGCGGAGGGAGGAGGAGGGAGGCGGAGGAGGAAAGTGGGAGGAAAGTGGGGGAGGAGGACGTCCTCTCGTCCTCCCCCCCCTCCCCCCCCTCCGCGTCGTCCTCGAAGCGCTCGAGCCCGAAGGGGTCTATCTTCAGCCCCTGGTAGTAGCCGACGACCTCCCGCGGCACGTCGGCGAGGGCCGCCCCGGCGAGCTCCTCCGGGGAGTCCTCATACATCTGGTAGGGGACGTAGTGGACCACCTGTCTCTCGGTGGCGAACGAAGGGGGCAAGCGAGAAGGAGAACGCTTTCTCAGAAGGCGGCGGGGCTTCTCTGAGGCCCTCACGCCTTCTGAGACATTTTCTCGTGACTTCGTGGAAGGTTGAAAACACTTCTCAGAAGGCTGGGGGACTTCCGAGCCTTCTGAGAAGGCCTTCCACTTCTCACTTTCCCCCTCGCTCGCCGCCAGGTCTCTCTGAGATCCCCGGCGACGAGGCTTTGCAGCCCCGGCGCACTTCCTCGACGTCGTCTTCTGGGGCCCGCACCGCTCCGGCCCGGGGGCCAAACGTAGATCTGGAACGAAAGACCTTCCCCTCGGGATGGGGTCGGCGACCATCCGGCGGCGGGGAGCCGACACCGGGCAACAGACCCTCTCCCCCTCTGCCCAAGCCGCTCCCCCTTTGCCCCCCCCCCCCCACATTGATGAACGAATAACACACACCCATACCCATAGGGGGAAGGGGAGGGCTCTGGGTGCATGTTGTCGATTCAGGGTCCACGCTCGAACGGGAGCCTCCCTTGGGTTCGGCAGCCCGCACCCATGTATCCATAGCCCGTCCTCCTGCGTCCGACTTCCCTATGGGTATGGGTGTGTAGTGTTAGTTCGTCATACATCCCCCCTGTTGCGCACAGACAGCCCCCAGACGCAGCCCAGGCTGGCCTCGACACTCGGGCAGCCCAAGTGCGTTCTCAGCATTCTCGCGCCGCCTCTGGCGGCGCCCCGGGCGCCCTGCGGCTGGGATGTCGAGATCGCCCCCATGGCTGCTCAAAAGGTGGATCAGCAGGACATCCGCTTCGTGATGGCAGCCCGGGACCAGCCCCCCTCTCGAGCAGCGAAAGGGGGGGCAGCTCGCCCATCGCCTTGCAAGATGGGGTTTGTCTATCATCCTTCCGCTACACTCAAGAGTGACACTGGGTAAGAGTAACCTTTGGTGCGCGGTTTTTGGGGGCCGCCGGGGGACCCAACGAGAGCGCGCAAGAAGCTACTCTCGCACCGCACGCGGCGATCGGAGGGCCTGGTGGGCCCACACCAAAGGGCACTCTGGCGAAGGGTCCCTTTTACGTGCAGTCGAGTCCTCCGAATCATGCTGGGGGCGAGTCGAAGCCAGCCAAAAGACCACCTCTGCGGGCCGCCCGTGCGGCATCACGGAACCCCCGCCGCCTGTCTCTGCTCCGCGGCGGTCCCCCGCTTCAGCACTCCGTCCGGGGCCTTCAGCCTCCGGATCCGCGTCAC